ACGCATGAGGTTACTATTGATTGGAAACTAAGGTGTCATGTAATTCACATAATGCATAGGGCATTGTCAACTATATCTCACTAAAAATCTATAGTAAACCAGTGAAGAACTTAGGCTGCCATATTGCAGTATGTGGACTATAGTATTTTATAATACAAAGTTGATAAGACACAAATTTCATCTTAATTAGAGTTCACAATATTTTGTGAAACAAAATAAATATTATTTTCGTAAATCAAAATATGTAGAAAGCAATTTTTCTATTTGTAGAATTTGGTACACATTCTATTGTTTGAAATGGAAACCTATTTAGAATGCTAATGGTCATCGAGAACTTTCCTATTCATAATGTGAAATCTGAACTTCTATACTATATTAGCCAAGTATCTGAACATTATACAAATGAGCTGTAATGTTCCATTATACCACATATGACAAGTGAGTTTTTCATTCTATGTTGTAGGTATACGAACATGTAGGATCATGAATGAGTTCTCGGAATCCTTAACTTTTATGGTCTAGATAAAAGAAAGTTAGACGATCGAGAGCAACAGGAACTGTTTAGATAATCGCCTAGCGACAGGCTGTAGAGAGTGGTGTGACGGTGCCTTGAGTCACTGCAATGGAGACGTCACGACGAACTGTGTACGCAGCCCCATTGATCTGGTAACGGGTCGCCATTGTAACCATACGCGACGGCATGCTCTACAATCGAATCATTTGTTATGTAAACCAAACAAAAAGTTGTAACGTTTGCGTTAATGGTGTCTGCCGGCTTATCCGTTGAGACCAACCCACTTTTTTTCTATTGTCCAGCAGGTCGATCGTCAATGTGATTCTAACAAATGTCCCTTGTTTCTATGCTGTCCTCTGAATGCTGATAGTGAATGAACAGTATTTTTTTTGCATTCAGTTGTTAAGGCGACCATCTCGTATGTATCGTCAGGTGTATTTTAAATCATAGCTGTGCGACTCTATGAGTATCTATTGTGGCTACCTAGTTTTATAGTTTGCATACTTTATACCATTGTCAGGGATTCTATAGTAACTTGAGACATTACTTCATTACTTCATATTGACGTCATCTTGTTTGTAATTGATAATTTACTGAATATATTTTTACTACGTATAATTAATACGAATCTATAAAATAAAGGATCTCAATTCGTTTGTACATTAGTACCTATATTTTTTCTTTTGTTCTACAAAAAATTTTGAAATGATGAAAAGAGACGGACTAGGAACAACAACACAAGGAAAGGGCAAGAAAACTACGAAGTCCACGTCTTTTTTGTATATTGAAACATGTCGCATTTAAGTATGAACTTATGTAACTAATATCATGGTATTTAGATCACTTATAACAAAGTCAAGTTCAAGGTTTAACCAAACGATTCGTGGGAAGCATACATATACAAAATAATCAGCATACATTAATTTATTATATTAAAGAAGGTGTGTTATCATTTTGGTTTATGGCTTATTTTAAAAAACCCTTTAGAGAAATTATCGTATATCAGCACTTTAATTTGTCCATTAAGTTGATGCAGATTAATTCTAGTGGATTATTATATATATTAAAATGGGACATTCAACTCTAAATATTCTGCAATATTGTCACTTTGAATAATGATGTGTCAATTTTTTGTTCAGTTTCAAAGTTTCTTATATAGCGATCCTCAGATATGTATCTACGGACAATTCAATACATCGTGTTGTGCCACCATCGATCATTCTTATAAAGATTAATTTGATACAATGCATACAAGTTTAGAGTACTTATTCTGAAACTACAATCCAAACACTATATTCAAATCAGAACGATACTCGACCGAACCTTATATTATTACAAATTATAAATTGAACCTAAATTGTTTAGAGTGGGAGAGTGGTGTACTGACACATTTTAGACAATTAAAATTTCAGTATCAACAGAAATTCTTACTAGAAAACGTCTGACCTCGACAGTTCGGACGTTTTATAGTAAGAATTTCTGAGGCCAAACCATTGGATTTGTTATTTCGTTGTCTACTAACATTAACTACATACACTTCAGAACATAATACAAAGTATATGCTACCACTAAACTGATGTAGCTAATGTCATCAGGATGTATTTTATACAAATATCGAGATGTTAGCAATTATTTCTAGATCTCGTAGTACAATCACTAAAATAATATAATTATATAAATGCAAATACTATAAATGATAATGATTGGTATCAAATGTAACGATATATTTGTCGATGTAAAATAAATAGTAAAATAATAAAATGCTTTATATATTTACATAGAAGCACAAATAACAATGATCTGTATATCGACTTTACCAATACTAAAATAAAAAAATACAGATGTTTCTTTAGTAACCCGTCGGTAAATTTAAAAACGTGTAAGATATAAATTTTATAATACTTACTGATATTCCAACAACAAATGCAATATCGTTGATAAAAGTACAACTCAGTATGATTTAAAGTATTTTTTATGTGCCATATTGTTTAGTAAACTGTCTTTTAATATGTTTATCTATAGAACGTGCGTTATTTAAACAAATTACTTGTATTAAAAAGTGTTAGTTGATACCTAGCCGTGATTATTAAATTATATCTACTACAATTTTTTGTCTACTGTTATTTTAAATGCCTTATTTGACGAAATGACATACTAATATATAAATTGCAACTGTTTATTATTTTTTTTTATACTTAGCAATACAGGAAAATGAAAACAATATGTAAATGGCAGTTCATCTCCGGTCACAAATTATGTTCATTTCTTAATTCAAATTTTATATTAGGCGTAAGTACTATTATGAAAACGAAACTGTTTTTGTTGGAACAGTAAACAATTAAATGACGATAGAAGACATAAACCCATGTTGTTCATAATTAAGTGTGTATATGTGACGTAGTTATGTGTATCTCAGTATAGACAACTTATCTATACAAGGGCGCTACTTCTGCCATCATATATGTTACGAAGGGGTTTAAAAACTTTTTGCATACTAACAAAAATATAATTTTTGAATAAATGCTTAATATTTTCTTTTTTTACAACTTGATGACACATGATCTAACCATACAGCGCTCGGTATGTCGGTATTAATCACTACATCAACATTTTGTTAGGTGTAAAAAGTTATATTTGATATGTATCAGGTATTCTTAATAGCATCCTAAAGAAATAGAAATATTACTAAGTCTTCAGGTCGAATTAATAAAGTAACGTTAAGTTTATCTCAACGTGATTTACTCGTAACATTGCTAATAAACAGTAAAAAAAAAATACATATTATTCGACAAATGAAAATGTAGTTACAATATTTTATTTCTAAATTATGTACATGTAACATGTCATGTTGGTTTTTTAAAATATGTCTGCGGAAGTAAAACTATGGAAATGAAGATGAAATGTCTGGTATTTCCAATTATACGTTTTTTGCATATTCGATATTACACTAACGGTAACATATTGTAACAAGCATGTATAAAATATTCGTTCTTTTGTGTCATTTTTCATAAATGAATAGGACTACTTTGAAGGGTCGACATGATTTATTATGGGGTGCTGGATATATTTTGGATCAAGCGCCGTATGCATGTCCTTGTAGCAGTCATATTCTGTTTTTTTTTCTTAAATAACATTTTTACCTATTTAAAACATTCTGTAGTCTTAAATTTTTGATCAACTAAAATTTCGGTTTTTCGGACTAAGAAATTTGTATGTATGATAATTGTACGTATGTATATACTATACATGTATACCTAGTATATATGATGATTGTTAGAGAAAAATATTTTTTTGTGTTTCATCCGTATATAAATAAGTGACTAATTTTGTTTAATGTTTCAAGTTATTTTGGGGTCCGGCTACCTTATTTGCATAAGGGTTAGGTTGGCGATAATTGTGGGTAGATAATAAAATGTGTTTCGTTGTATGTAAGTCCTTTTTTTGGTATTTGAATATTCAGAGAATAAATCTGACTGTAGAATTTTTATACTATTTATAACCTTAATTTTTGATATAATGTTAATGTAATAAGTAGCAAATTAGTTATATTTCAAACAAATATAAGTGATTAATGTAAAAAATTGAGGTCAAGAAGCATCAAATCTGGATTGCTTTGATTTTCACATTTAGCAGCGTGGTTCGCCCTGGGTTTCGCTTCCGCGTTTCATTTTTAATGTTGCAGCAGCACCCGTGTATTTTGGTTTTATATTTATATTGAAAAAATGCGCGAAAATTGGCGAAATGCAGTAACGATGTAATAGTGCATGTTGTAGGTACTGTAAATTTAAAGTATTTAGACGACCTCGACGACCTCGGTGGTCTAGCGGTCTAGCATACCGCTTTACGACCGATGGTCGCGGGTTCGATTCCTCGCACGGCACAAACATTTGTATTCATAAGTATGATTGTTTGTATGGGTCTGGGTATTTTCTATTTATAATATGTATGTATTTACGAAAAAAAAAATATCTATGTATTTGTATCAGTTGTCTAGGACCCATAACACAAGCTTTAGCTAGCTTAACTTGGGTCTAGATGGCGCTGTGTGAATTGTCCTGAGATTATTATTATTATTATTAGATTTATGTATATTTAAAGACTTTAAATTTAATTTAGCTAATATTTTTGATATGATATTTACTTTTCTAAGTATTTGTGATTTTTTATAGTACTGTTATATACATATACAGACTATTTCTCAATATTTAGATGTTTGTAAAATTGTATAATTAAAAGTAGGTAATGATTTAAATCTTTATTTGGATTTTTATATGTAATTTAATATTTACATTTATACTTTAATTCTTTAAATTAATCGTAATGATATTTTAGTATTAAATTAAAATACTATTTCAAAATACAGGGGTTGTCACGAATATTATTGATTAATATTTGAAAAACAACTAGCATTATACACAATTAAATTATTTCATTTAATGTCATTTATATAATATTTCATTTTTGTTGTAAATAAACTAGGACTCACCAAAAAGTACAGAGTGAGTCCCGGCCCCATGGCGCGGGAGTTGGCCAGTTGGCCTCGTAATGTGTGTTCGAATCCCGGTGCAGGCAACACAAAGCTACACCGGCAAGCAAGCACGGTTCGCGATAAATTTGCTAACGTGACCCGCTCTCTGCGGTCCGCTTTTAAAACTAAAATGTGCAAAGTCAAAGATGCGCCTCTTATATTACCTCTTACGTTAAGTCGGATACCGCAACTTATTTGGCATATATGTTTAAACGTGTGTGGGTGCCTTTTGGCACACACGTATGTTTTTGGCGACACATAAAACAAGTGATAATGGCCGTGTCCTTGTGTGAGTGACCACCAACACCATGTACAACCATACAATCACCATTATTTATTACAGGTGTAGCTTACATTTTCAGTGATTAGAGAAAATACATTCCGAAAGGGTTATTTATTAGTAATGTAATGCTTATAAGATATTTAATTTAGATAATATATAAGAATAATAGGTTACAAAGCATTTAAGAATTTGTAAACTACTCATATTGTTATAAGTTCCTATTTATTATTCATATAGCGTTGATGTTATGTGATATGGATATAATATGAAATAAGTCCGGACGTTCTTGATAGGCTCTCTTAATGCCTATAGTAGTTAAGAAACGCGATTTTTGACATTTTTGAAACTCAACAATATGATAGAGTAAAACATGATATATTATAAAAAAACAGATATTATTGAATACAGATTACAGACAGAAAGCATAGAAATTAAAATAATAATTAAATGAATGTACTTGTTACTTGGTACTTGTTAAAAGCCGCCTTCGTTACTAAAAATAAGACATATTCGTACATAAACGTGCTAATTGTCTAACCTACAGAAAGTGGTAGGTAATTGTAATCAACAAACATGAACATGTGGACATCACAGAATGCACCGTAACCCCCATAGATTTTCAAGTAATGCTACTCCTGGGAATTAATGTTTTATGCCTCTGTAAAGTAGGTTCAGTACAATATCTCACCATTCCAGTAATTTCACTGCCATATCTGCAATATATTATTTACTTAAGTTCTGTTACAATGAACAAACAGCTTACTATGTATTATTATTTGAAGTGAAGAGGGCTGTACTTGTCGGTTTATTTCAATCGTACACTATAAATTTTATTTCAATTGTTGATCTAGGAATAAAAGAAACATTTACTTAGTGCATGTACATAAATTTTATTTAATAACATAAAGATACCTTATAATATTCAAATATAAGTTCATTGAAATGATGGCAAAATTACATTTCCAATGATTAAGAATCATCAAAATTTGATGTAGAATAAAATTATCCAACTGACTATTTTAGAGTAGATTTAATACGTACATAGTGTGAATCTATTAGTACTTGCGTATTTTTTACGTAAAATAAAAAATACGTAAGTACTATATAGATTCACACTATGACACCGACACAAAATAAACAAATATACACACTATAAACTATAATTATAAACTAAATTAGACCAAATTATATCAAATTGGTTATGATCTACTATATATTTGTACATTTATATTTAAGTGTATAGTACTACTACATTTTATGTATTATATATTGCAATCTTCGGTATCGTGAGAATTTATATGAAGACACTATTAATATGTAATATTCTCTTATCTGTGCTACTGTGCTACTAATATTATAGACGCGAAAGTTTTGTGCGAAAGGATAGTTAGATGGATGGATACAAAAACTTGTGACAAAAATAGAATAAAATTTGGTACACAGATAGCATAAACACAAGATTGAAAAGCCGCAGGAGAATCGTCGCGTAATATAGTTAATATAGCCGTGTATATATTTGTATGTACCATAAGTAATATTCCACAAATTATATGTTTGTATCCAGTTACTTTTATAAAAGAATGTTAGATACCAAACTATCATTTGAACGACAACATAATTATAATAAATAGTTCTATTGAACCTAGATTAAGCGGAAATAGATGTGGCCGAGCGGTTCGGCGCAGACGCATAAATTAATACGTACCTACCTGAATGGTTTGTAGAGGTTGTTTAACTAAAATTCAGCTACGCATACCTAAATGTATAATGACCAAAATGTTAACCACAAATAGTTACGTTGTATAGTTATTTATAGTCACGCGGCTAACATTTAAAGAAATACATACATATCATTACTTGTAGTAGATCTATCTATACGTTTTAGTGACAGTTTTCTCACATTGCTGTTAGTAGACGAGTCCTTGCTATAAAAAACCGGCTCCTATAAATTATGAAATGTTATTTTCAAGTGGTAGATACGTAGACAAGTAATAAAATATTACGTTTATGTATACTTTTTTATGATTTTGAAAATGCAAACAAGCAAACAAACTGATGGCCAAAACCACTCACCTGGAAAGTGGTAAAATATAATGGACATACCAAAATATACTGTGTCGATCACACATATATAATCCAAGAGTTGCATTGATAGTCAACCCACAAATAGTCAAATTAAAGCATAGCTTATCTTATCTTGCTAAACCTACTATTATTATAAACGCGAAAGTGTCTTTGGATCGATGAATATTTGTTGCTCTTTCACGCAAAAAGTACTAAACGATATTTTATGAACCTTTATAGTAGATACCTAATACAATAGGCTATAATTTAAATTGTATGAATTAGGTGAAATATACAGAAACTGTAAAATTGGTCGAGAAAAATCTCTCGCGGATATGGTGCGATTATTTCCTTTAAATAGTTCTAAAAATAACTCCGATGTAACATTATATCTGTCTACTATGTGTAAGCCGTTATATCCAAAATTGTGAACTGTAAATATATATTTAATACTATTATATTAATGTCAGCACTAAATTAAACAATATCAAAATGGATTTAATTAATCATTTAATCTAATTTAATAATCTTACATCATTTAATTTAGTGATGTAACTTTAATATACAATAATATCCAAATATATTGGTTTTGGTATTTAAAGTAAACAGACTTCATCCTTTAAGTAAATTAATTTGTATAAATAGTTTGATAGTTACAACGTTGAGAATACTCGTAAACACGTGCACGTCCCAAAGGTAGCCAGACGCGTGGTGTTCATTTTGCGAATCGGCAGGCGATCGTATCTAATGTAACAAAACTGATGGACCTAAAACATTTACAAAGTTATGTACCTAAAATGAATAGATGGATAAATGGGTAGTCTTGAGGTAAATCTCGAAGTTATACCTTACTAGATGTTTCATGTGACTCCTGATACCACTCATGCGTTGCCATTCCAGAAGGCATGTTATATGTCTATCCTGTAATTGTATGTTGTATTGTTTATGATTGAACGTTGGTACAGATGTATACGATATTTCGTTTGAATTTATTTGATAAATCATAACCTTAATAATATACTCACATAATAGTATAAACGCGAAAGTTTGTGAGTATAGATGTTTGTTACTCTTTCACGCAATAACTACTGAATAGCATCAGAATAACACATAAGCTATATTTAATATTGAAATTTATGTACTAAAATTCAACGCGGGTGAAACCGCGCGCATAGTAGTAGGTAAAATTATAAACGCGAAAGTTTGTGAGTATGGATGTTTGTTACTCTTTCACGCAAAAATAACTGAACGGATTTTGATGAAACTTACAGTAATGTAGCTTATGTAACAGAATAACATATAGGCTGTATTTTATATTGAAATTTACCGCGGGTGAAATCACGGGCATAACTAGTCCAATATAAATGACATTTTGACTGAACTTAAAAGTACGTTGCCTCGATCGATTTCTACCGAAACAATCTTTATTTATTTATAATCTATATTTTAATTAATGCAGTGCACGAAAGTTCCAATAAGTAATTTATATTAAGCGGGTCTTTAACTGTTTAGCATGTATTTCGGCTTCCCATAACTCAGATCCGGAGTATGTTAGCAAGCAGAATTTCCTGATTTATGGGTGATGAATGCGCTCTTGGCTACGAGCGTATTTAAAATTCTTTTTTATCATAAGTGGTTACAGGGAAATTAAATATCGTTGACCGTTATTTTATATAGCAGATATCTTCCAGATCGTTATTGCTTTATGTCAGTAGGTACACCAGGATTTGTTAAATCTGTATTAACTACTTTTTTAGTATATGCCACCTTAGAACTTCGTCATCATTGTGATGCCTTCATCCCATTATTTGGTATACTTTTTACACTTTAGAACTGTATAAGTATACTAAATAAAAAAACACCAGAGAATTTAAGAACCTTCAATTTGAATGCGGCTAAACAGCGACAAATTGGATCAGACGAAATTGGGACCCAGATGCTTCTTTGTAAGTCATATCATTGCAAAAATAATTCATCAAATGTTGGATTGTAAAGGTAAAGTGTCAAAAATACTCTGAAAGATCGTCGTATTGAGATATTTTCACAGTCAATTGAAAATACGTAATGCACCGTAACATTTATTTTGGGAACAGGAGATCGAGATAGCGGTATATTGATGACAAACACACGATACCTTGGTTTGATATTTGGGTTTTTGTCCATTCTTCGAAGGCAACTGCGGGACAGGAATTGCAACATTCGATAAGCGAAAGATTTTTTTTCCTTATAATCGTTTGGGTTCATCGACCCAGCATCCGTCTGGGTCCTCTGCACACGGTTAACCCACAATTTGCAAGCAGGTTGGCACAGAACGAACATTAAAGCAAAAAGTAAGTACACCTACGTATCTACGTGATGCTTAATTCTTATCATTTTATTGACGATCTTAAAGTACGATTAACTTACTTTAGGTAAACATTTAAAGTAAGTATTAACTCTTAATTGAATACCAGTGCATATCGTAGCTGGATATAATGTAATCAGAAGGGTCCTTTACATCCAAGTAGCTTTATTTTATTATTGATTTCATTTATAAACACTTTTCTTTTAAAGACTAGGTATCTATCGATATTTTCGTAATAACTGAACAATTTTCAATGACTACTTAGCAATCAATGAAGTTCAGTTCCGTATTGATCCCATTATATTTTATGGTGGATTTTGTATGCAACATTTTAAAATATTTGTTTTTATGTTGAATGATACAGATCGTTCATCAAGAAACAATATCATCATGTTCAGCATTATTAATCAAGGGTCTATCTATGGTCTCTGCT